ATTCTGTGTGTGCTCAGTGGGACTACCTCTCTTTCCAACTGCCTATAACAGACAAAATCATACTTCTTAATTAAAATTTTATTATTTTCAGATTAATATCAGCAACAGTGTACGTCTGCCACTATTAATGCAGTTAGTAAAAAGCTTAATGGTGGGAGTCTTTACAAAATGTAAAGCTTAAAATGAGAAGCTTGACAACTTGTACGCAGGAAATTTTTGTTCTGACTCTTAACGTTCTGAATTTCCATTTTGCTGGTATTCACTGAGCGTAGCATAAACTGAGAACTCTGGTTCGAAACAAAAGTGTTCCTCACCAAATCTGCACCTCTGTGGTAGATTAGATCTAGAGTGATATAAATGAAGTGTTATATTTCTGGTGTTTTATTAGATATATTATGTAAATCAGTCAACAATGTACAAAGTGAGAACTGTAAAAGGTAAGAGCGACATTTAGCACAGAGAAATCTGAAATAGAGGTGATTATATAATTTCTTTATTCAAAGGACACATGTAATATCACATCACCAGAAATATAACACTTCATTTATATCACCAACCAACATTGTACAAAATTCTTCGTTTGCAAGTATTTGCCATTTGTAATTACAAATCATTGGCAATGCAAGGATTACATTTTGTATATTTTTAGGAAAAAAAAAAAAAAAAAATTATTTTAACATATTTCAGAAGATGAAATATTGGGGTTCACTGAATATGATATTATTATGAATTTGATCAAATATTTGTCAGTTGTATATATGCATGTAGACCTCCGGATATGTTTTGTTCCCAGGGAATTTTTTCTTGCCAGTTGCAAGTCCTACTCCTGTAGGAGTACGCAAGTAATCATTAAAAATTAGAGGCAACAGACCAAAGCCTACGCTATACTATCATTGCAATAACAGCCAAATAGGTGAAGTTTCAAATCTAAGTGCCTGAAATGACTGAGAAATTTTAACTTCCTCATTTGAATGGAAAAACATGAAATGTTTTAATCTGACATGCATGTGATCATAAAGTAATTTCTAAAAATAAACAGATGCATATTATCCTGTTGCCAATTGCAGATATTTGAAAAGCTAAAGACTATTTGAACTGTGCTGTGAATAGACTATTCTCCAGTGTAGGAAGAGCAAGTTCTTCCCAGGGTTCAAATACAATATTTTTCATCTTCACTGTGAAGAGCTTTTTCCTCTTCTTTTCTTCATAGAAATAAAAGGCCTTTCTGTTCTTTCAGTTGAGCAACCTCTGCCTTTTAGGGGGAAATGGAGTTTCTGCTCCACTCACCCATCACCACCACCCAGCAATTCTGCAGTTTCTGTGCCTGAGCTAGGTGAACAATTGGTACAGGGGATGTGAAGAAAGAAAATAAAGATATGCGAGTATGGGGACTGTAAGAAAAGAAACTTAAAACATCTCTCAGGTAGAAATGGGGACATTTTGTGTTATAGCAATGTGATCAGGAATGAATCTGAAAGCTTACTTTTAAATGGCTTAGGCAGCTTTGCAGTTACATGCCAAGTGGATACACTTTATGCATTCATATGCAGTATGCAGTCTGCAGTATCCTTCACAGTCCATTTAGGTGATTTTGTCACAATACAGTTTGTTAGAATGTCACTAGGCTGTCTCAGCAACTCTGGGCACAGAGTTTTTGGTTGGGTTTTTTTTTGTTATATCTTCAGATAGTATTCATTAGTTGCATTCTTCAAGGTTTTCTGGACAGACTTTGAGGGGTTTGAATTTTTAAATTCAAGACTTTGAGGATCTAGGGTGCAAAAACTGTGTAGTTGAAGGGCTAGTGAAGAAGAGTCGTAAGCACAAGGTCATCCTGGGCAAAATCTATCCCAGCTGGTTGTGATTTATTGGCAGTTGAAGACTTTAATGGCATATGTGAAATAAAGGGCAAGCGTCCACACTGCAAGACCATCGACATGGTACACTTGTATTGTGGGACCAAGGTTTGAGGATAATTATTCCTTCACATTTAACAAATTCTTTAATGTTTGTTTGTAGGTACATCCTGTCTGTCATTTACTCTATGGTCTTTACTCATTTGGAATCGGGCATCCTTCCTAAGCATTGCATATGTTGTGTTTTGGTTAATGTTCAAATACATCTGTCTACACTAAGTTTTTAAAAAGTTTTAAGATGCATAAGCACCATTTAAAAATATGCAAATATATTAAATTTATTCTTTAAAAAAAAAGGCTAATTAATTACTTTAGGCAGTGATGTATACTTATGTTCCTGTAATCTGTGTGTTTTTGTTAAATTAAATGAAATTGCTTTCATTTTGTAAAAGTAATAAGTAAATTAAAGGGAAAGCCTTTGTAGGCTACTGGTTTTATGATGTCCTAACCTTAAGTAGAAAGAAATCTGAGCCAACTAGTTGTTCTTGCTTTTATTAAAGTTCCTGTTGGCAGCGCACTGATGGGACACATTAATCTTAGTATTAATACTGAGGAACAGGAGCTTAGAAGCCTGGGATGAATAAATCATTCCAGACCCCATTTGGATCTGTTGGCACCTTCCGTGTTACATTGTTGCTGGATAAAAAGGCTTCTCTAAGCATTAAAGGGTTGGATAACACAACTGGCCTATTGCAAAATTGCCCACAGTAACGTGTGAGTGTTCTGATTGGGGGTAGGAAGCAATGGGGCCGGATAGTTTGAGCACCTGCAGTTGTTCAGAAAATTATCATCCTCTTGCACGTGTGTGGCAATTTCTGTGCGTTGGCACTCATAAAAGTAGATATACATTTCGTTCTGTCCCACAATATCCTACTACTACCCAAAACCTACACAATCTTTGTCACTAAGACCACCTAGTGGTGCTTCCAGCCTAACTCTGAGGTATTCGTTGACAGTAGAGAGGAAGGAGAGTAGTTGAAGTGCTTCTTATTTATGTTACATAGGTCTGTCTCCAATACCTTCATTAAAATCATATATTTTTTTCAGTTCAAAAGTAGGGTCATCCATTAAATCTTTCCCTCGAAGATTAGCTCCAAATATGCTGAAAGATAAAATCATCATACTCCAAGAGTAACTTCTTGCTGTTCCTTCATATCTTGCAGCTTTCAGGTTTTTTCAGTCTGTTTATGTCTGTTGCAGTTGTGTCTGCAACATGCTGACCCATTCGTGGTTGGCTCAGAAGCCCCTCACTGCTCTGTTTCTCTGAACTCTCATGCTCTCAAGATCCTCTTCCATAACACAGACTCAGAAATAGTTTTTGGCTGCCAGCCTCCTTGTCCCTTTCCGGATTCAATTCAGATACAGTTCTGTGCATGTTCAGTGTAGCATGCAGCCAAAACGTGACTCTGTGTGGTTGCTGCGATGGCCAAAGCGAAGGAGCAGAAGACAGGGAATGAGCTGTGCTCAGCAGTGCTATGGAACTGGGAGGTTCACAGCCTTTTCACCACCCATCTCCTGCCCCCAGTAAATCAATGACGGGTGTGATTTCTTTTCATTGGCCCCAGGTGGGCTTGCCTGTCCTCTGGAGTGTTCTATGCACTTAAAAATTAATAGGGTGGGATTGCTCTCTGGGTGGGTTTTTCCTGATTCCCACAGCTTTAATTGCTGTTACATGAAACAGTGGCTGCAGACATCAGAGGAAGATTGTCATACAGTAGCAGTTAGACATTTTCAATGGCAGTCAGTGAACAATTATATGCTATACAATTTACACTATCTTCTCTAGTCTGTTCTTTGACTGAAGAAGCACCTATTATTAGCCAGGCAATAATCAAATACTTAAAATAGGCTTATAAAAGAAGATTTGGAGAATAATGCATGCTACCATCTAATAAGCATTTCACTCCCTTATGAGATGCACTGAAGTGTAGAAATTCAAGCTATATCACTGTATTTTTAAACTGACAAAATTGCTGTTGAGACAGCTATATTTTCTTCAATGTATTTTATGCATAAAACAATCTCATTTTATAAACACGAACCATCTTTAATGTAATGGATGTAATGTGCAACAATTATTTTGGATAACTTTCAGTTGTTAGATGGCACAAATCAAAGTTAAAAGAATATTGAAACAGAAGGAAAATGAAAAACAATGTGAAATGTCTCAATACATTTTATTCTCAATGAAATAATAGAATATCACTTTACCAGTTCTAACATAAATGGGATCATTTGAAAGCTATCAACCTGTACATGCGCTGTTATAGATAGAAACATAGTTTTTTAAGTCAGTCAGTTGTCAGTGGACTTGGGAAGGAAACACTGTTTTTCATATACATGTGATCCTTGTAAAGCTGTTGGTTAGCAACAGTTCACAGTCTAAAAACTCAAGCAATGAGTAGTATTTGGTAATGCAACACCAGCAACAGAAGGGAGAGGACAAGTCACTGGGTTGTGTTTGTTCACTTCAGAGTGTGACTTTCCCAAGAAAGTAATAACAATTTAGCTTATTTCTTAAGAAGGGGAACAAATCCCTCTATATCTGTTGATACAGCATAATAATTTCTTTCTACTTCCTTTCTACTCCCACTGTCTCTGGCCCCGAGCTGCGCTTAAAGTACAGTGGCTTGTGCAGTGACCTAATGCTTGGCTCAATTTGTACAGGAGAGACTATGCATAACACATTATATCTAGTTCTGTTCAAAAGCTTCCCAATTGAGTATATATTAAAATTACTATTTTTAGAGCAAAGTTGTAAAGAAAACAGCAAAAAAAAACCCCACCTGTTAGCTTACACTCTTAGAGAATACCTTCACCAGATGCTGAATTAAACTTTACTTACTGGTATTTTTATAGTCCCTTTATATATTTGAGCTTCTGAATTGAGTCTCACGATAAATAAATTACAGAAATGCATAATGTTAATGATTGATATGACAAGATCAGGTAGAGCACCTGAGTAATACTTACTGTGTGCTTACCATTTGGTATCTGGAGAGCATGAAAACTGTTTGTGGGCAGTGGATAATGTCTGTCATTTTGCACTGCAGCACATGCTGATCACTTGCTCTTCTTTTTCTTGAGGTGTAAGCTGTGATTCTCCATTGCTGGAAACCCTGCAAGGATGTTCTACTGCAGAGAAGTAAAGACTGCAAGTTAGGACATGCACTTTGAAAGCACCCCAGAAGCAGACCCACTTCATGAAGCCTGGATCTGTACTGCTGTCCCCAGGATGGTCTGGAGCTGCTGAGTTTGAAGAAACAGCAAAAAAGCTGAAGTCCATACCAGGAGAAAAACTCTTCTGTATAGCATGATAACCCTGTCAGGAAACAGAAGACAAAAAGTCCTGCCTGATTTAAAGCTGTGGAAAACCTTGAATTCACAAGAAATGGAAGGTCAAACCATATGAGAAAGTGGCTCAAAAGTTTTGATGTTAATAAAAATAATCTAATTCTTAAGTGATTTTTCAGGTTAATGTTACTAGAATAAAAAAATCCCATTCTGAATTCCTCACTTCTCTTCTGCATTTGCATGATGGGGTTCCTCCCAAAGTGCTAAGGAATGAATATACATGTGTGCAGTGGTCTCAGCACATCGTGTGTCGGGTCAGGCAAGGTATATGAGCATAGTGTGGAACAGTCACGGCTTAATGCAAACATCTTTTCTCTTAGAAGTAGGTGATATCTGGTACCTGGTTCCACTTGCTACCAATTGGAAAAGCAGAAGACTGGCCTAGTTTGTAATACCAAACGTTATTAAACTGCACAGTGGGCCTGAGTCTAATTTTTCCCTGATTTTATAGAGCCATTGGCTTTAATGGACTTGTTCCAAATTTTTCACTGGCATAACTGTGAGTAGAATTAGGTCCAATAACTGTCATGTAAAACAAAATCATTCCATCTTGTAAACCATAATGCAGGTTACATAGTAGTTAAGTGTGGGCCAAATAAATTCATCTTTCACATGATGTGTTAAATGGCAACCTTGGATACTTGCAGTCAATTAAAATTTCCTGGCACATTTTCATAGGACAAGAGACGTTTGTTACTAATCGTGCCCAAAAGAAATTCTAGATAGTATAATTGTATTAACTAAAATTGCCTTTGTGCATATCTTTCAGAAAATCAAAAAATGTGTGTAGTGATTTTGGTGCAGATGACAGCTGAGTTATAACCCAGAAGCAGCATGCAATAGAGTTTCTCTTACCCTGTACTGTTGAACTGCCAATTGTCTTTAAAATCTAGAATTGAAAAAAAAAAATTAAGTGGAAGACTGCTGGTTTAATATTTAGGGACATATTCTCAGCTAATTTAATTTACCATAGATGGGTTGAAGCATCACATTAACTGATCTGCCTCTTATCTCTTAATATAACATACAATTTAATTGGTCATGCCCCTTTAGTTTTATTACTTTTACCTATTTATATAAAATATTTTATGACACTTTGGTTCTTAAATAAGAAAGGAAGGTATAGGCTATTACATTTTTTCTGGTTCTTGCTCACTGTGTTAGTCCTGAAGTTGTCCTAAAGTAATTCTGAAACGCTTCAGATAAGTTACCATAACAATAAATATTCCTTGAAAATACCTGTCTTTCTGCCTGTCTCTTTGGGCAATCAAATCTGCATGTGGGACCACCTCATTTAACACTTAGCTGTTGCCACATCCAAGATGATGATGTGGATTTTGCCAGCCATTTGTAAGGTGGAGTAGTGCAACCTTGCTAAGAAATTCATGCAGTATTAAAAATATCTCCAAAGGTGCCCCATATAGGCCTTTAACGTAACCTGGAGAGCAGTGTGTTCCTTGCATGTCCCGTGGGAAAGACTACCAAAACTGTGGATAGGAGAGATTAGTTGAGGAGAGTGAGGGAAACCATGATAGTCAACCCCAACAGCTACAGAGGGGCTCATGTCAAGTATGGTACTGTTCCTGTTAATAGGTTATATATTACTTTTACATCATTTGTAGTCTGTACAACTTCACTCTTACTACCTTTCAAAATGGTGTGTGCAGGCAGGGAGCAGTGACCTTTTTGTCTTAGAGCAGCTGATTAGTTTTATGACAATACGTTAGGAATACCAGGCGAAACGTTTCAGGCAAACTCCAGATGCATCCACAGATCCACAGGCTGAAGTCTTCATTGCACTCTAATAAACAAAAAGAGAAACTGATTTTGCTTGTGGTAAAGTCTGGTGGTAGTTCTGAAACATTGTGAACATGTTTGTATGCATTGAAAAAAGCCAAAGAGTGCATGTGAAGCAATACCTGTGCATTTATTTATGTTAAATATATTAGGATACAAGAGTGATGTGACCAAGCCAGAAAATGGAATGCAAACAGAAATAGTGCTTTCAGATTACCAGCTACAGGTCTCCTAACCTGAAATATTGTATTTTTTGGATTTCAGTTCCATAATACTATATACTTGGCTTCTCCAGTTCAAGTCCATAACAAATTACTTGCATGCTGTGCTGAGATTCAAAAGAAAAAAAAATTTTAGAAACAGCTGCTGTTGGCTCTGTAGTCTGGCTTTGACTGATTCTCAAACTCAGCCAACAAACACAGTCCTCCTCCACTTGTAGAGCTTCTGGTTTGTCTTGGCCTAAACAGCCCTTTGTCCTCTGGCAAAATTTTACTGGAAACCTCATGCAAATAATGTTTGATCTTTACCAACTCATCTCAAGGAAGAGGACCCATGTTTTAGCCTCTTCTCTTTCTCTGAATTGAGGAAAGGAGGGAGAGAGAAATTCTATGTGAGGAATCAACCCTGAACAGTCTAGTCTCAAGACTCCCAAGAAGTTGTGACCCTAGGCTCTCCATATGTTCGCCAGTGAGGTATTTGCCAGGATAACCACTAACTGTAATAAGTGTAATAAGGTCTTACTGTATTTTCCATCTGTATTTTCCATGCAGTTTACCCAGCACTCTTACCCTCTCCACAGCGAGACGACTGTGAAAACTTTCTCTTTGTTAAGTTCAATGCATTGTCTTATAGGAGTAGGAGTCAGTGCGCATCTCTGTGGGAAAAAAAGTAGGGAGCTATGGCACTTATGTTTGGATGACTACCACCCTTGCTGATTAAACTATGCTTATGTGTGATCAAATACCCTCACCCTTTTGGAAATCTGAATCAACTTCTGTAATTTCTGACTCCAGAGTGGCCCTGAGACCAAGGAATAGAAGTGAATGAAAAACAGAATTAAACAGAGAAAGATTAAAAGGCCAAAAAGAGGAAGGATTCATGCAGTAACACAGGTTTCTCTGACATCAATATTAACAACGAGACTTGCCCTCCTACTTTCAGATATACACACTCCACAAACATCTGCTCAGTTTCTGCTTGGAGTCATAACTGTGTGAAGTACAATGCAGCAGTTTTGCATACTTTGCTGATGGCTTCTCTCTTTGCCTTCTTTTTTTTATCCTGCACCCTTTTCCAACAGATTTAAATTGGCTGCATGACTACGGGTTACAGTCTTTACCCTGTATTCAACTGGTCCATAAGTATCTAATTTTGTGTGCTCTCCACAGCATCCTCATTTTCTCATTATTCCAACCTTTGCTCCTTGCTCATGCTGAGGTTCTGAGTGTGCCAGATTAATTACCCTATCCCTAAATCAGAGGAATCTACACATCTAGTCAACCTCTTTTTTTCTGATATCAAGGTGGCAGAGCTATTAAAAAGCAGTGACTAAGAAGAGGAGTAGATTAGAAGAGCCATGAGAATTTTTAATAGAAGCATGAGAAAGTGAAGAATTTGTGATGAAAGGGATTGTGGCAACATAATAGTTTACCTACACAGAAGCAATATAAAAATTAGTTTGAATCTCTTCAATAATAAAGTCAGGATGTTATAATGGATTGTATTTTCTAAAATGTGAGATAATAGCATAATGGAGGAACATTCAAAAGCCTACTATTAATTATTAATAGAATTTAATAAATATACAGTGAGTTTTAATTGCTAGCTCTATTCTGAATCAATTTTTGTTTAGGTTTTGGACAGTCTGACTCAGAAACAAACTCATTCCTGTTAGTAATTCATGCTATTTTTAATGATTCAAACTGAGTTGCTTCAAAAAAGTTCTTTTAAAAGTAATTTTGACCTCAGATATCTTTGACTAGATATATATCCCAGATATCTGAGCTGTGTGGGAAATGTGTATGTTCTAACTTACCCAATGTTTTAAAAAGACATCCTGAAACTTGAGAGATGTTTATACTTTACAACAGTGTCAACAAAAGGAGTGTCTGGACCCAGCTAGTCAGAAGTACTCTCTTAATTCATGGTCTGGGCTTAAAATTAAAAATTTGAAATTTTCAGTTTTTGGAGGAAAAAAGCGCCATTTGCTTTTTGTTCATTTACTGTGGGAAAATGGTAGGGGGGAAGGAAGAAAAAAAAAAAAAAAGTATCCAGTATGCATTTTGGGGTAAAAGTCATTTCTGTTTAGGAAATGTTGGGTAACATTGAAACATTCCTGTAAAAGTACTTTGGTCACTGAGGTTGTCTTTTTAGTAAAACATTTTTACAACAAAATCAATTCAGCATCTTCAGCATTTAGACTGGTGGTGTTTTTATTAATTTTTCAGGTTGGGGAAAGAATCAGATATTTACTTCTGTGAATATACTCCTACCATTAGTGTGGGATGAGACCTTATCATAGGGCAAATAGCAGGGTAGGCTCGGGCAGTCAAGTGAAAACCTGGTGAAGCCTCTGAACTCTCATTAAATAGCCTGATTAAGAGATGCTGCTTTCTCTGGTTTAAGTGGGCACAATGTCAAGAATTGTAGGAGAGAAGTGTATGATTTCGGGCTTTGGCAATCCAATCCAATCCATGCAAAGACATCTAGCGGTGGTTTGTTCCTTGAATAAACAAGTTATTTGCTCTTCTTGTATCATTGCTTATTCATTTGGATTATTAACAGGCTTTTTTAAACTATTAAAGCCTTGCCACTCATCTTCAAAACGCCTCTAGGCATCTTTGATTTGTACGGTTAGCATTTACTCCCTAAGGTCTTGTCGACCTTGGCAGTGTTAGAAATCATATTTTCACATGCATGAATTGCCCTTGACTAATTTCTCAAGTACAGTTTAAACATAAATGACCTTCCTTTGACAGTCATATTTTTTACTTTTCTCTTGCTTATTTTTAAGAAACATGGTGTGGATGTGTATATAGTTATATGGAATACTGCAAAGTAAATTTGTTTCAAAGTTTTATTAAGAATGTGCGTGTTTTCTTAGAATATGTTGATGCTAGATGGAAGGATTTTTTTTTTCCTATTATGAGTCCTTTTTTCTAATCTCCCTTTCAGACTAATACAGTTCACAGTGACTTTTGATGTTATTCTCCCCCCATAGTAGTTATGCACTTCTAAAAAGAGTGAAATTAATTTTCTCATTGTGACATGGGGCATGTAATCCATAATATCCCTCCTTACTGAGTTAGCAAACATCCAAAAAGAGAAGGTTTCAGAAAGTTTTGGGTTTTGCAAAGTTTGAGTTTCAGTACAAAACATGCCAGGCCACTGAAAATAATACCAGATACATTGTAAGTAGCAACAGTAGAGAACAGCTCATGAAAGAAATAGAGATACATAACAGAACTTCATTATCGGTACCCAAGCATCAAGAAAATACCTCATGCTGCGTCACCCAGTGGCTTCCAGGCTGGAGGCATGGAATATGAGCACTACACAGTGTCAGGGACAGGAGACGGAGCAGTTGCCATGTTCACCATAGACATAGGATGTGACCTGCCGAGCTATGCAGCCTGGCATCAACAGTGAAGATGTAACAGGGTTGAAAAGCAAGATTTCTCAGTCCAAATTCCAGCTCTGCAGCTGAGCCGCTATATAAGGGAAAGTGCTGTGTTAGAGAATGTGTTAACTGCCACGGGACTGAACATTACTCGACAAGGGATGTGGTTCTGGTAGTTTCTGAGACATGTTAGCAAGTCCAGTACAAAGCAGATAACTGGTTTTAATTTACCTGGTGGCCAGGACAGGGTTAACTTTCCTTGGGCCGAGGGAGCGCAGATGCAGGGCTGAGAGCGGAGCGATCATTGGGCCATCCCGTGTCACGTGACGCCAAGGCTCCGCAGGGAGACGGCACGTGCTCTCTCCGGGCGGGGGTGGTTTCGCTTTCGCTTTCGGTTTCGGAGCGGCGGGGCGGGCTGGGGACGAGCCTTGGGCCGGTGGCCGTGGCTGTTTGGTGAGCCACTACAGCATTTTACTCGTTTTGGACTACTATCATTACTGTTGTTCTTTTGCTAAGTAAATTTTTGTTATTTAACCTACAAGTTTGGTTTTTTTTTCTGTCCCTCCTCTATTTCACCGGGAGGGTTGGGGGGCGGGGAAGTAAACAACGGGCCATGTGGCAATTTGCTACCGCCTGGGTTCAAACCACAACACCCGGTCAAGGTAAACTTTATACAGCTGTAAAGAATGAGAGGATGGTAAGGTGAATCCAACACCTAATATTTATTATGGAATAATTCAGCTGTTTGAATCTGTGCTGTTAACAGCTTGTTAGAAATGCACTGAATCGTTTCCATGGAGTCTCTGATAGAATGTATGCAATCACCTGTAGATGGAGTGAATGCTTCCTTAGAGATGCAACTGGAAAACATGCATGAATGTACTGCAAGATAGTCTGTTACAATTCGTGTAGCGTTAGACGAGGCACAGCTCTGATGCATTTTCTACACGTAATCCTTGGCTAGGAGTAATTTTTCCTTCTCATCTGGAGACATATATTTTCGGTTCCTTTTACAACGTTCTCACCAGGCATTTTCCTGACCTTTCGCCAAAATTTCATTGAGAGCAGTATGAGTTTCATTGTCTAATTCTTGAATTGTGTTTGAAATAGAAACAATACCTTCATTTCCTGACCCCATTTTCAGAAAATGTGGCAGCAGTCCCAGCACTGCCTCACCAGCTACGACAGGGCTATGGCCAGGGACTGGTGAAGGATGCACCTTTCCGTTCCACCAAAGTGGTTGTCAGTGTGCTGCACTGCCCCCCGGGGAGCAGCGCTCAGGAGGGTGTAGGCCTTGGTGACTTAGCTATCTGAAAGATAAAATCATCATCATAACTTTCCCACGGTGTTGAACTAGCACCTGTGTAACACTGCAATTCCTCAAAGAGGTACAGAAGCAATACTTAATGACCTGAGTCTTTCAAGCAGAAAAAAATCCTTTGAACTGGGAGTCCTTAAAGAGGTTTCCACTATTTAGTTTTCATAAGGAGAAACCTCTTTTCCCTCTTTTCACATTGAAGTTTTTTACAAAATATTACTACCTTGTTTCCTAAATTATATCCTGTGGACTTTCTTCTGGATTCCTATCAGTCACTATCATTACCACTAATATCTTTCAGATCTTTTACTGTGTAAAAATTGTTTTCTGTGACAATCTAATATATAGAGTAATCTAACAATGAGAGCCTGGAGGCAAAAGTGTACTCTTGTTAATATGCTTGTTACAGAACCATGACTTTCTCTGAAGACTGAATCCTTACTTTATGGGATTGGAACCTGGCTGGGCTTCAGCCTAAAGAGAAAAGTCTTCAGCCTAAGAAACAAGTGTTTTACTGTGACTTTCAGTGTTAATGCTGTACACTAAGTACTCAAAGTTTATGTGCTCCTTTAAAGGGCTTACTTTAGCTACCATATTATAAACTATCTAGTGTTTGTTATTTAAGTTGAGGACTGCTGAAAACTCTTGAGAGCTTCTTATATTAGCTGTCTGAAGTACTGTCAGTATGGCATATGTTTTGTTCCTTTTAGAAAAGGCATAGCATAATAGAAAGTTGGCAGTGGATAATTTTCTAATTATGTGGCACGCTCTCCATTTCACAGGCTCACTGACAGTTTCAGAGAAACAAGAGGATAAGCGTAGAACTGATCTTCCATCCACACGACGACACCTTAGAGGATCTGAGAGAAAGTTGCAGTCAAATCCACATGCATTCAGGTAAGGATTTTATATAACTTTTCATTATAAAACCCTGGTAGAATTAATGTTTTAGACAGAGTAACTGTTGATCACTGTGCTTGCTTGAGCAAAATATTTTTAAAACTTCAAGTTTTAAGCATCAGGTCAGGGTGAGAGCAGAGATGACTGCATCTCCATCTGAAAACAATTGCAATCATTGCAGGGAAACAAAGCCTGAGGGAGGAGGAGCACTAAATATTTTCAGAGACATTAAGAATTAGATCACTTTAAGTAGGTTGCCTCATCTGTGTTTTGATTCAAGCTGATGTTATGTACTCTTTTCCTCTATTCTGTTGTTGTGCCAGACTTATATTACACTATTGTCAAGGCAGACAAGGTGGCTTTTTCTTGTTTTTTTTGGGGTTTTTTTTTTTTTAATGTTACTTGGATTCACAGGATAATATTAATACACATACTTCCTTATATGCTCAGTGTTAGAGCTAATCTCGCATTGTTGACATAATCATTGCCTGTGTCTATTCCAAAGAATACCAACAAAAATTTCTCAATATAGCTCAACTCTATAGATATCGGTCTTTATAGATTTGTTCTCATCACCTTAAGATAAGAAAATGTAAAACTCTGAAAGGATTTGCAAAATGAAGTTATATAAAATCTTCATCATATTCTCTGACTATGTTATCACAATAATCCACTGCTATTCATCTGCTCTGTATCATTTAGCATGTTTGTTCCAAAGAAGGACTGACCTAGACTTATATTTGGTCAGAATACAGTAAGTGAACATCATTCCTAACTGCAGTGCTACCTTAGGATAAACAGTTGAAACTGACTTTTATTTAAAATATTTACTTATGTGGTACTTTACCTAGATCCTGCCAGAGACTTGCAAATACATACTGTAGTTACATACTACTGATGTGAGAATTGCTATAGGCTCATTAGGTTTTACTCATGGAAGTAATGCCCTGATTGCTAAATTATTTATTTGGAATTATTTGGGCTAAGCCAGAAATTATGTGTTGCCAAACCTAAACCGGAACCTGGATTTAAAAGAAAACAAGCTATCATGATTTAAGGAATAGTTTCGTCACATAAATTTTGTTAGTTTCATCTCTCCACCTTGGAAGTTATGCTAGTGTGAACTTAGAAGCCAACTTTTGGAAGTGACCTGGGAGTATTCAAAAAGAGTAATTTATGCTTAGTGATCCTGGCTTTGCTATAGTCAACACAGGAAAGGAGCAAATACAAGGGTTGGGGAAGCAATTCAGAATGGAGACCAGAACTAGATGATCTGAAACAGTAGCTGGAGGAGGTACTAACTTCACAAGGTTACACTTAACTTTTGTCTCATATTCAGAGGTACTGCAGAAATTCAGACCCTCTCACATAGTACCAGCACTGAAATAAATACTCAGGACTTGGCAGAACTGAGTACAGGCTTAGTTGGGCTTCCACAGATGACACCATCTGAGAATTTCCAGTGACTAGAAATAGAAGTTTCTGCCTAATAATGGCAAGGAAGCATATGCAGGATTTTTGCAAATGCATGTATTTACAATAGTAAAGACAGAGGTCAAGGTATGTGCTAGCTTTGATTATATGGAACACTTGTGGTACGGTGAGTTCTGTAGTTGTATACTTGGAACAATACTATTACTCACTTCCGTGTTCTCCATCTTAGCATTTTTAACATACATGTCCTCCTAGCCCACATAGCACACAGGATTGTCAAACTATTTTACAGATGGGAAATTAAGTCATTTGCCTAGAGCTACATAGGAAGTCATAAGATTCAGGAGGCTTCCTATCTCCTGTTCCATGCTCTAAATCACAGAACCGTCTTTCCTCCCTAATTTTTTGTAGTTGTCCAGAGTGAGCCACAAAAACTGTTCTTGATTTCTCAATGAAGTAGAATTTATTGACATACAATAAAGGGCACGTTAACAATCTTTCTACAGCTACACCTAATTAGTCAGACTCTTGAATATGCATTGTAGAAGTTTTCTTTACCTGTGAATTCATCAGTCTCACTGCTCAGCTTTAATTACTTTACTTTTTCTTGTTTGATTAATTTGTATTGTTGTAGCATTGATGTACTCATTGTCCTACTTAAAATAGTTGAATAACGAAACCTTAAAATTCTTTGCATGTGGTGTCTATAAATTTACATCTAACAAACCTTGAATGTAATGTTTCCAAGCCACCTAAAGAAGAGCAACTCACACACCCTGTGCAAACACCATTCTATTGTAATGTTTATCACAGTAAAATAGTGGGTTTTTTAACTGAGCTATGTGTTCTGAGCAAGATGCACAGGTGCATAAGGCAGGAGAGCCTGGGGCTGTATTTGATCACAAGCTTCACACAATCTGACTGGGTCAATGCATTTTTCCAGACAATTTAGACAATTTTCTCTCTGCAGACAAAATCCCTGGATTTCTCCTTAATGTTTATCAAAGTAAGCTTCGAGGTTGGGGTGGGTTTTTTTTTTCCTTTCAAAAGTTTTACCCACCTCTTTCTGGTACAAAATAAAAAGATGCCAAACTGGTGAAGAAGCTTTAAACAAAAGTTGCTGGGGAGGGGAACCTCAATCCATCCCACTCCTATCAGCTTGATGCCAGTGCCAGCAGTAGCTGCCCAGAGCCTGGACAGGGGTCACAGGACAGCAGGAGAGCACCTAAAGAGCAGCACAAAGGAATTCCAGCCAGTAGGTCAGCTTCAACGGGGCCCAACTTAAATGCCTCCGTGGAAAGGCACTGGAAATAAACAGGAGGAACTGGAGACATGCGCATGCCTGCAGGGCTACGATCTTGTTGGCATCACGGAGACCTGGTGAGATGGCTCCTATGACTGAAGTGTTGGAATGGAAGGGTACAGGCTCTTTTGGAAGGACAGGCAGGAGACACAAGGTGGGGGTTTGCTCTCAGTGTCAATGACCAGCTGTAGTGAGTGCATGGAGCTCCACCTGGGGATGGATGAGGAACTGACCAAGAATTTATGGGTGAGGATTAAAGGGAAAGCAGGGACAGGAGATGTTGTAGTGGGGGTCTGCTACAAGCCACCTGACCAGGAAGACCAAGTAATAGATAAGGCTCTCTATGGACAGATAGGAGCAGCCTCATGTTCACACATGGGGGACATCAACCATCCTGATATGTGTTGGAGGGTCAACACAGCAGGGCGTAAGTAATCCAGGAGGGTCCTGGAATGCATTGATAATAACTTCCTTCTCCAAAAGATAGAGGAGCCAATGAGGAGAGGTGTTATGCTGGACCTTGTTCACTGGTGAGGAATGTGAAGCTCAGGGGCAGCCTTGGCTGCAGTGACCATGAAATGGTGGAGTTCAAGATCCTTAGGGCAGCTACAAGAGTGCACAGTAAGCTCACTACCCTGGACTTCAGGAGAGCAGACTTTGGCCTCTTCAGGGATCTGCTTGGCAGGGTAACATGGGATAAGGCCCTAGGGGTAAGAGGGGCCCAAGAAAGCTGGTTGATATTCAAGGATCACCTCCTCTAAGCTCAGGAGTGATGCATCCCAACAAAGAGAAAGTCAGGTAAGAACATCAGGAAGCCTACAAAGGGTGGAAGCAAGAACAGGTAGTCTAGGAGGAATGCAGAGAAACTGGTATCCAGGGATCAGGTTAGGAAAGCTAAAGCCCTGGTAGAATTGTCTGGCCATGAATATTAAGGGCAACCAAAAAAAGCTTTTACAGGTATATTGGTGATAAAAGGAAGACTACAGAGAATGTGGCCCTCTCTGGAAGGAAAAGGGAGACTTGGTCACCTGGGATATGGAGAAGGCTGAGGTGTTCAATGACTTTTTTGCCTCAGTCTTCATCAGCAAGTGCTCAGCCACACTGTCCAAGATGCAGAAGGCAAAGGCAAGGACAGGGAATGAAGAACTTCCCACTATAGGAGATCAGGTTTGAGACCATCTAAGGAACCCGAAGGTACACAGGTCCATAGGACCTGATGACATGCATTTGCTAGTCCTGAGAGAACTAACAGATGAAGTGGCTAAGCCACTATCCATCGTATTTGAGAAGTGATGACACTCTGGCAAAGTTCCTTCTGTCTGGAAAGGAGAAACATAATCCCCATTTTTAAAAAGAGAAATAAATAGGACCCAGGGAACTACAAGTCAGTCAGTTTCACCTCTGTGCCCAGCAAGATCATAGAGGAGATCCTCTTGGAAACTATGCTAAGTCATATAGAAAATAAGGAGGTGATTGATGACAGCTGACATGGCTTCATTAAAGGCAAATCGTGCCTGACAAATTTGGTGCCCTTCTACAACAGGGTTACAGTGTTGGTGGATAAGGGAAGAGCAACGGATGTCATCTACCTGGACTTGTGCAAACCTTTTGAGACAGTCACACACGACATCCTTGTCTATACATTGGAGAAACATGGATTTGATGGATGGAACACTCAGTGGATAAGAAATTGGCTGGATAAGTGGATAAGAATAGGCTGGTCTCAGTCAAAGAACTGTGGTCAATGGCTCGATGTCCAAGTGGAGAGCAGTGACGAGTGACATTCCACAGGGGTTGGTGTTGGGACTGGTGCTGTTTAACGTCTTTGTCAGTGACATGGACAGTGGGATTGAGTGCACCCTCAGCAAGTTTGCTGGTGTCACTGTCCAGGTTTCAGTGAGTGGCAGGGAGTTTTTGGCAGCAGTGGAGGGGGCTACAGCAGTGGCCCCCTGTGAGAAGCTTCTCAAAGCTCCCCCAGCTCCAAGCCGGACCTACCTTTGCACCAAGGTCGGGCCAATTAGCTGCACCTCTGCAATAACGTATTTAAGAAGGGGAATCTGGGAGGAGTGGTAGGAGCTGTGAGGAGGGGTTGCAAGGAGAACTTCTGTGTGAACACCAGGGTTAGGGGAAGAACGGAGGAGAGGGGGGAGGTGGGCCAGAGCAGAGACTCCCCTGTATCCCATGGCGAGACAGCAGGGCCGCCCCCACCCATGGGGGCTACGGTGGAGCAGGTACCGATTTGTGGCTGTGGAGA